TACATGTGTCCTATTGCCTCTTATGTTTTTAAAGGCATTTTGCCTATTTCTTATTAGTAGAATAAATGCTGACTATTGGATGCTTGAATTAATTAGGGCTGTATGCAGAAAAGAACTGAATTTAGCAAAATGACTTTCAGAATATCAGAGAATTGCAGGGTTGTTTTTTTATTTTTTTCCAACACATTCTGTATTTTTTTCCCTCCCCTGCTTTAAAAGCAATGCTGACACAGTTTCTTTAGGAAGATGAATGTTTGGGGAATCTCCCATTTCAAAAAGACTTCTTCCTTTGCATAGTTAGGATTTAGAGTAAAATGACAATTCTTCTGGGTGGGGTGGAAGATTACTTCATGATCCCTTGTCTGCTGTAAACCAGGCAATCCTAATTACTGAATTACCTCACTGTTGAGTTCTCATAACAGACATCTGTCTTGCTTTTTTTAATCCAGATTAGGATGGTCTGAACAATGCTGTGAACAGGAGTCTTTAAATTTGAATAGTAAAATGAAAGGGGAAAATGCATTATGTGTGAAAACAAACCACTCACAAATCTGTGAGTGACTTGAGTACAGTGAAGATTGTATGTTTGTATGGAATATATGGGAAAATTTACTGTGATTCACATTAATCTATTCTCATGTTTTAATATTTACTTTACTTTCAATATACTACCCGTCTCAGGATCTGTACATTTTTAAAAGGTTGTCAATTATGAAACAAATTGTATGAAACAATTTGAAATTGAAGCAAATATTAACAAAAAAATATAACCAGTTTTTGTTGTTTTACGGTATAAGGTGGGACATGTTCCTGTGTTGATTCTGATGTCATCTTATTAAATTGGGAATATTAGATAATTCTGCCAATGTTACAGAGAGGTCATAAAATACAAAATACTGATTTCCTTTTTTTCCTTTCTGTGGGGGAGGTCTTTGAGGCATTTTATTTTAATTGCAGCTGTGAAGAAGACATTTTTAAGACGGTGTACAAGTGTGAAAAACACATACTTGGGGAGCTGTTAGGAAAAGGTTTGCAGAAGATGCTTTCTGTTAATAGTAGCTGATTTTCATATAAAGCACTTTGTGTACAAGCTAGGAATCTGAAGTAATCATTGCTTATTACAAGGACAGCAGATGTGTCAAGAACTTGAGGACATTAAGGGAAAAGAAGTTTGAAGAGTTAAATGTATGTGACAATTGAGAGCAAATTTCCAGACTTCTTGCAATTAGTTTGTTTTTCTGCTTATTTTTTGAAGTCTACGATTCTAATTCTTACTTGGAGCATTTATAACAGCAGCTTTCAAATTGTGATCTGAGGGCTGCTGGGATTATATGAACAGCTGTCTATAAAACTCAATTAAACTTTTAAAAATGGCCTTATTATTTATGTGGATTAAAAGCCATTATTAGATACATTCCTGTATGTCCTGTATATATGGTTAGCATTATCATGTTCATGACTTACGTGATTTCAAAGGTGCTGTGTGACCCATAACAATTCCGAGAAACAGCAGTGGCCCACTAATGTAAAACCTGTCAGCTAGTAATCAAGAGATAATAGCCACAGGTTAATTATTGCATCCAGCTACGGAAGAGGAAGACAAATTTAAAAATTGGTTGAACATGGTATTCTCTATTCCAAAAGGAAAGCAGTTTGTTTCAGCTTGTTTTCTTTCTGCTAGATTACATTTTTCCACTATTTAAATAACAAAACAACTGATACATTCTTGAAAATTCGGTTTCTTTCTCTTTTTAAAATATGATTACTGAAAACTTAAGGATTAGTTCCAAGCACATTGTGATAAGAGAGAAAGTGCTTCTACCTAAAACTAAAACATAAAAATTACACCTGTTTAGTTGCAAACACTGGAATTTGAAGACTAACTCAGTCTCAGGGGCTTAGTGGATCTTTCATTGTAGTTCTGTGATTCAGAAGCATTCAGATACGCAGTATGATCTTGGTTTAGATTGAAGAAATTGCACCCAAATATAATAATATATATAATGAGCTATCTTGTGTTGCTTCAAGGAAGGAGCATTATGCATGAAGAACCAGTTTGCTTTTTGTGATTTATATTTGTTTTGTTGAAACATTTTAAACATATTTGCCTCCTCATACAAGGATTAACTACTTTATTACATTACAGTTGAATGGCTTGTTGTGAAACACTCCTTTTATTTCTATGTAATCAGTGAAAACATTACTTTTACTTACATTGCTTCATAAAATTGCTCTATGTACTATATAAAAGATGTACATTGGTTTGGAAGAATCACTGTTTACAGGAACTCCATAATAATACAAGATTTACAGTTTTCCTTGTGCATAGCTGTCTCAGAAGTCTTTATTTTCAAATGTTCATGCTGAGCTGAAATGTTTTGCTGTTCTAATTATAAATTAAACAAATGTATAATTCCAATATACTAATTTGTTTCAATTTTACATGATATTTTTAGTTAACTTTAATAATTTTCTTTTTCTTTTATTGTTGTGATCTGTTGTCTGTTTTGTCTGTTGCATGTCCAGGGTTCTAAGGTTAGTATTGCTGCTGTAAGTTTCAGTTTTTTGGATTTTCATAAATACCTTATTTTTGATCATTTAATATTTTGGCTTTTTAATTACTGTTTTCACTAATTGCTATTATTATTTTCCTATATCATATAGTAGGAAGTGAATAGGAATATATTAGGTGTAATCATTAACTTTTCCTAACCTTGTGCCCTTGAGTAACTTAATTCATTGTTAAGTATGGTGCTTACTGTTAGCTACTGACTGAATGTAGGCAGGTCCATGAGCTGAATTAAGTTGTAAATGTGGTTGTAAATGGAAAAAACTCTTTAGGCCTTGAACATGTTTATTGTAGAGGAGACATGTTAAGCATGATCTTAAATATGCTAAGTAGTCATGAAATAGTGATTGGTTCACTTTTTAAAGGGTTTTTGAGCTACATCTATCTGAAATACGGCTAATACCTGAAGGCAGCTTGATAACAGTGGTGTTTATTTTCAATGCTATTAGAATATCAATATGCTATATTTAACAGGTAGAACTGATGGTAAGTTTTGCTGTAAGAAAAATTTCAGTCTTCTTTTTTAATTCCATACAGAAGGGTGGGAGGTTGGAAAAAAAAAATAGGGTGGGTTTTTTTTTCCTCCCAATTCAAAGGTTGCAGAAATCTTGGTAAAATACACTGAAGTTTTATTAAAAAAAAAAAAGAATTTATAACATGCAAAAAAAAAAAAAAAAGGACGGTATTCTGAGAAGGTTTAAGACTATGATTGATGCAACACAGTTGGAGCTTGAGAAAAATCAACAGCAGGCAGTCAGTTGGCTGCTACGGAGCCTGATGTTATTTCTAGCGTGAGTTCGAAGTTTCTATAACCACCTATGAGTTTTTCTAGCAGACTGTTATGGCTATAGATTTTTGGAAATCTATTTTCTTTGGATGAGTGCTTTCAAAAATGATGTTATAAAAAAACAGCAACTGATTTTTTCAAAAGGTAGGAACACAGTATACACTAATCAGGGGACACCTGGCTAAAGAAGATAGGCTGGAAATCGTTCTTCTGAGCGTTTTCATTTTACCATTTTTCTCATGTTACTGGGCAGATCAGACAGATGACAGCCTTTCCCAAATCACTCATGTAACTGACTTGTTACATCCTTAAGAGAAATTAAATAAAGTGGTATCTATCATGGTGATGACACATGCCAAATTACATCTTTCATCTTTCAAAACAGTTGTTTCCTTAATACCGTTTGGCACAGTTCACACTTTTATAATTTTGTGTGGAAAACATTCTAAAAAGTGACTCATGAGTGAGGATAATAATTTTTTAGAAGTATGTAAATAAAGATTTTTTTTTTTTTTTCTGTATTTCTTTTTCTTTGGAAGGAAACAGCCTTAACAGCATGAAATATATTTTGATTTTTTTCAATAGCTACTTCTAAGCAAATGAATACAAATAAACACATTGAAAATAATACTTTTTGAAGAAACTGAACTCTCTGTTAAGAAAAGCCCTGTGATCTGAAATTTTGTGACAGCTGATAAGAATCAGCCATCTGTAAAACATTTTAAAATCAGTATTCAGGCATATAAATGTGGACACACTCAAGTGCTAAATCCTGTTTTCAATTTTGCCTACCTCCAGGGGTAAAAGTGTTTAAACAGATATTTATTTTTTTAATTAAACTTACTGTTTCCTCATTTATCTGTACTGTTAGATACCCAAATGCATTTGAAAACATGACTCAGGGCATCTAAGTATATTTTTTGAGAAAAACATAATCCTTTTTTAGATTTCAGAAATATGGGCTTCATGCAGCATTTTTCTGAGGATTCCCATCAAGTCCAACACTAAATTAGGAAAGAAATGGCCTTTCTCTGGCAAACATGAGCTGCACATCTTATAACTTGTCACATTTTTACTTCCCCTCGTTGCTGTCATGAGAGAGTAAGCATACTCTTTTCTTATCTCCAGGAGAATTGGAATCTGTCAGGTTCCTATATGTATAAGCATTCCCAGGGAGAATCAATTCATAGAAACAGGGCAAAACTATCTGATTTTTTCCACTCCACTCCTCATATTTACTTGTTTATCTAAAAGAATGTAGAAGCCATACAAACAGTAATTACTTTCACGTTACCTGACAGTTTGCTTAGCCTATGGAAAAATGAGTACATTGCACCTTTGTATATCGTGAATTGTTTTACTATCTGGTCACACTTTGTCTTTATGGAATTGCTAATATATTTCTCATTTATATTACACTTTTAATCATCTGTTAGAGCACGTAAATGTAGATAATTTTCTCGTTCTACATGCTGTCTTACTTTGACTCACGGTTTATGTTAATGGTAGCAGTAGGAGATTTTGAAATAACTTAAATAACTTTTCAATGTATTTTTCAGTAAGCATAACAATTTAGATTTGTATGTGTATGTGCTGTCTTTATATTTCAGTTGTGTTCAAACTGTTTAATTCAATTTTCTTCTTTTAAAGACTGAATTGGAAAATATTGAGGTAACACAAGGAATGTCAGCAGAGACAGCAGTAACTTTCCTCAGCCGTCTGATGGCAATGGTTGATGTACTTGTATTTGCCAGTTCTCTAAATTTTAGTGAGATCGAAGCTGAAAAAAACATGTCTTCTGGAGGACTAATGCGACAGTGCCTAAGGCTTGGTAAGTCAGCAGACAGTATATATTAAATAATTACAGATCAATGAGCTACAGATGGATCAGATAGTGACACGTGTAGGAAAGGGCTTCTACTGACTATGATATGATAAAACAAAAATCTTGGTTATTACTGATTTGATACAGTTTTAAACTTAATTCAGTTTAGGCACAAGAATAAGTTACAATGATGTGTTTGAAATTATTCTTTCTTATGTTTTGGGGGAGTAAAAAAATTAAGTGAATAAGTATAGATTTTATTTTTTTTTTCTTAAAACTGTTTTGCTACTTGCATGCTGCAGGTTTCCTTATCCATTTCTCCATTGTTTTGGAAGACTGCTTGTAGTCTATGCAAGACTAAAAGCATAGGATGCATGTGCAAACTCTATAGCGCTTTATGAATAATTCAAACTATTCTATGCAAACTATATCACTTTATCCTTGTGAACATTACATTTTGACTGTCATCTGGCATAATGTTGTTTTCCTAATGTTACATCCCACATACTTGTTCATCTCTCAAATGATGAATAACTTTTGTAATCAGTCCTGTTATAATTCATACCGCTTATTATGTCAGTGATAATTGTATTGCTTTTAGTATAAAACTTGTAGTTTATTCTCAGTGATCAATTTTTCTTCAAATTCTACTATTTTTTTCTATTCTAGCTGTATGTAAGTACTTTCAGATTTTAACTGCTAATAGCTGATAAGTAACATACAAAAGCTGCAGTTCAAGGACTAATGATTTTCAAATTTAAATGCAGTGATATAACAGTTATATAAAATAGTTCAACTAAAGAATGGAATGAGGAAGTCATTGCTTTATTTAGTACTGACAGAGTCTAATGTGAGAACTATGTTGCACTTACTATTTGGACGTGATTATTGACATATCAAACTAGATGTACAGACTGCTAATTGAAGTTATTAATATAATAATGGAAAATATTCTAATGTGTAGCATTTCCATAACTTTTCAGTTTGTTGTGTGGCTGTGAGAAACTGCTTAGAATGCCGGCAAAGGCAGAGGGAGAGAGTCAACAAGACATCATTAGTCGGCAGTAAGACTCAGGACGTCCTTCAGGGTGTAACTGCAGCAGCAGCAACCAAGGTAACCCAGTCTACAGTTACCAGCAGGAATGCCAAGTCTGTACCACTGCATTATAGGATCAGAAAAATAATCGTAACTACCTTCTCAAATATTTGGCAAAAGCTTAGGTTTCTGCTGTAACTGGTTTGAAGTAAAAGTTTGTTTGAATGAAGAAAGCATTGATGCAGTAGTATGATCGAAACTATTTCAAACAACTTTTTCACTCTCGCATGGTCTACTTCAAAGAGTAAGTCCCATTACTCACATTTGTCATATATACCTGCGTAGCTTTTTTTAATCTGTCAGGGCACTAACAGACTTGATGAAATCCTATAATCACATCTTTGTCCTGGTAACTTCACAGACCATTACATGCATATTAGACATCAGCATTTTCCATCTGATTTTTAACTTGTCTAATATTCACTTACAGCTTAGTTCTTCCAGTTTCTTTAATTCATTGTTAATCTTTATAAAAAACCAAACCAACCAAAAAGACAACCCTGTGTACTACTTTAAGACTTTGAGAGTCCTAAAGCTAAAATCTCACAGAATTTAGCACAGTCCATGACTGAAGTACAGTACTTTGTATGATGTAAAGGTTTCCTTTTTTTTGCTACTATGCTTTCATTACTAAGTAAGTTCAGTGTTTTTTCTTCTCTAAAGACTTTCTCAGATAGCATTTACCACTTCAGCTCTTTTCACAATATTATTTCATTAAATCTCACTAAAAACATTACATTTCTCCACGTTATCACATTCAGTGCAAAGCAAGTCAGCATAAGGAGACTTCTAGATGCTTAGGCCTCATTTTTAATTCATTGTCATTTTTTAAAGGAAGCATACTACTCTATGCTTTCATAGTAATAGCAGTTATTCTGCAAGTAGTCTGTTATAATTCTCAGTAAAATGAACATAAACTGATTTTTAAGAATATGCTCATTGGTTTTAAATTTAACACACGTATTAGAAATAATTTATTGTGCTGCTATGAAACAACTGTACTCTGAAATAACCTTTTGTGTGCAAATTATTATCTAAACTCTGGGAAGAGATATAGTTGTTCTGAGATACTGGAAAGATGTAACAATTTATATCTAAGTAGTTAGTATTAAGACAATAATACAAAACATTGCTTTGTTTCTAGAATCCTTGCCTAAGTATTATGTTGGAAGTATATTGGTAGTAAAAAAGCATCTAAGATTGATGCAGTATCTAAAAACGGTGTCAAATTAAGGTCCTAACAGAAATGATTTTATATTTGTGGGGGAGATAAATCTCACTACTTTTTATTTTTAGACTCCCCTTGAAAATGTCCCTGGCAATCTTTCTCCTATAAAAGACCCGGATAGGCTTCTTCAGGATGTTGATATTAATCGTCTACGAGCAGTTGTTTTTCGTGATGTGGTGAGTAATACGTGCTGTAATCCTTTCTTCTGCAAAATCATCACTTACATTTGGAAAGAGATTTTGATTGTCCCAGAATTAAAAATATCCTTGTGTTGCACTTCGTGTATTATCTGCAAACCATCTGCTTGTGGCTTTGTAACTACCAGCCACTTTCTGCACTTCAAAATCATACTGGTAAGCTATTTGAGATTAGTACTTAATAGTCAGGCTTTATATTAGCCAAATAATCATAGCCAGAATAAATTAGTTATGACCTATGTTGATTAAAACTGTATTACTAAATGTGTCAGCTATTTGTCCAACCAGGGTAGGAGGAAGAATTATTATATGTATTACAGAAGTGCAGCAAATTGATCTAGAAAGACAAAACATACATGTACATATATAAATGTATTTTAAAATGTTTTTCAGATTTTTCTGCAACTGTTTTTAGCATAAAATTGTACCACAATGTGTTTGTTTTGGAAAGTAGTACAGTAAGAACTGTTGTTATATATACACGCAAATACATATGTTATGTTTAAACTTCTCCAACCTAAGTATGAGTGTATTGAAGTAAAAACTGAAGTTAGAAATAGATGTGAAAAGAAAAAGGTACAATGTGACACAAAAAAGTCATCTGTCGGGATGACCTTGAAAAGGCAGGGTTGAATTTGGGTGGAGATCTTCTGTCACCTACTCTCTTCTCAACTAGAGGAGAAGGTAATAGAGGAAATACTGCTTCTGGCATTTCTATGAAAGAAGTTACTAAGAGGATTTCCTGTTATTTTAACAATTGCAAAGACATGCAGCCAAATTAAATAACACCTAGAAAACATGGAAAGCAAGCACTGGATTTCTAACAGAAAGCACATACTTGTGGAATTGAGACAAGGTGAAACCGCTGTGGAAGTAGAGAGAGGCTGAAGTCTTAATTCTACCATGTTGGGTTTTACACCGTAATAATAATAAAATGCTTTTCAGTTGAACTACAGCAACTGAAGCTCAATCAGGATGATATCTAAGACATAGTTTACATAGAACAGCAAACTGGGGTGGGAGGAAAAGAAGAAAGCAAAGTTATTTTGGGCCTGATATTTTATTAAATCAGAGTCCAGGAAAACTAGGATTGCTGCTGACAATCCTGTTCAGGGAGAGGTAAGAATGTAGGAGCTGGGATTTATTGCTGGAAGAAAAACAACGGTCATATCCTTCCTGCTTTTACATCCTGCTTTTTGCATCAGTGAGCTTTATTTTCTCTCTCAGCAGTAGTACCCCTTACCTTCTTGTAGCAGGAGCTTTCAGAGACTCATCCTTGGGGCAGCCAAAGTCAGTTGCCCTTGCAGTTGGGAATCCTTGAAAGAACGCTCAGAGCAGAGTCAGGCCTCTGTTGTGAAAAGCCCATTGACTTCACAGTCCCAGAGATTTCTGAGTTGCCAAATTGCCTGTTAAATTCAGTACTTAATATATTCTGTGTGCATAGTACTCCACTGAAAATCCATTAAATCTTCTGTATAATGTATTTGCTAATAAACTAACAGGTACAACATTTCAGAAAGGTATTATTTATTCAGACTTGTGATGGTTTTGTGTGAAAATTCTATGGAAATGTCTGACATTATAGATCTGTTCCTTTTTCTCCAACACAGGATGATAGCAAACAGGCTCAGTTCTTAGCTTTGGCTGTAGTCTACTTTATTTCTGTTCTGATGGTCTCCAAATACCGTGATATCCTAGAGCCACAACGAGAAACTGCAAGGTCTGGGAGCCAGGCAGGTAGAAATATCAGACAAGAAATAAATTCACCAACAAGTACAGGTATTTTTGCTTTCTTCAACTGTTATTTGATTTTATTAGAACTGTAATTATTTTACTACAAAGTATTTTTAATGAGTAACTTAAGGTCCTGATAAAATATTTGCTACTTTTTTGCTCTATAATTATTTGGTTCTTTAATATACATTGGCAGATATCTGTTATTCTGTCTCTTTGCTTATAGGCTTTAACTAATTTTCATCTGTATAGTGCTTTTTAATGCCTTTTTTTCTTTAATTTGAAAATAATTAAAAAGACACAGGGTGCCTGATGAAGTTAAAGTTGTAAAGTACAAGATAGTTGATCAGCACAGCTTCCTTAATCTGTTATTTCCTAGGAAAAACAGATACCTTTAACTTTATAGCATGAAATATATAAACAGCAAAACCAGCTGTTTGCCCATGTGAACTCCTTTTGTTTGAGTGAGGAGGTTTGTGAAAGGGTACTGGTAGAGGTCTGAGTACTTTCTTGGAGTCCTGCTGTGTTGGTGCCTGCATTTAAAAGCCTATGGAAACAATATAATAAAAAGGAAACTTTTCTGTTGCTTTCTTTGACTGAACTGTTCGTGGTTTTTGTAGTAGTAGTGGTTTTTACTAGCATGTGGTCTTCATCCTGAGAGGGAGGGAGTCTGTTAGCTGTCAGAACCTGCCAGAAATTAGGAATCTAAACTTTACCCCACTTTGGTTTAAATATTTTAAACAGTTCAGTAATTTTTTTCAAGTCTAGTTGGATTGATTATAACTGTACCTTCTGTGTTAAACGAGCTGAGAACAGTAATTGAATTTGTGTGTGAAGCTCTTTATGTGCTTTTCTTCTTGTATTGATCTTTGATTACTTTCTTCATTTATGGAGTTGCTAATTTTCATTCTTCATAGAATTTATCTTCTAATTTGTGTCATATTTATATTTAGTCATTGTTTTCTGATTCATCATGATGTTTTCATTTACTACTTATACATAATTTTTAAAGTCCATGTGCTTGTAGGCTTTCCTTTTTAAATATATGACATGAACATTGTCGGTTCTGAGAAACCATAATTTTTTGTGCCTTCCTGGTTATGTGTTATGGTTCTGCACTAAGAAACTGCTGGTTTCAGTATCAGCCATGACTGTCTTGCCTCTGTGCCTGTATATATATAAATATATATATATCTCTGTGTCTCTTTTTCCCCATGAATGTTGCTCTTGAAGTGCCCAAATAATAGGTATGCTGTTTCCTATCTCTTGATACAGAACTTGTTTTCTTCCTTTAGAAATGCGTTTTTTTGTTGATAATACCATATTTGCATGTTTCAATGAGATAGGATATCTGTCATGGATCCACAGTGGACCAGGCCACACATGAATACTACTAGCTGGCTCACATTTGATTCCATGATTTTCTCCACAGTTGTGGTCATACCATCTATCCCTCACCCAAGTTTGAACCATGGATTCCTTGCCAAGTTAATTCCTGAGCAGAGCTTTGCCCACTCATTTTACAAAGGTAATATTAACATCATCTCCTAACCTGTTTGGGTGTTCTTATTTAATGTAATGTAATTCAAGAACTAACTGTGATGTAATTGTTGATAAATAAATATACGCCTCAGGTTACATGGAGATCAGACCTGATGATACCTTTAAAATTTTAATTTCCTGCCTACATTTCTCTAGGAAATCTCTTTCCCACTTTTTACTACCATTTATTAACTTAATTTATTACGTGGGGGAAAAAAAAAAATGGCAGTCAAGAGGAGAGAATGAATCTAGAAATTCTTTAATGCTTTTGGTTTGTGGTTATTCTGCTACAATACTAGGTCCATAAAAATAAAATCAGGCCTATTATAAAAATACTGCGTACCACAAGCATGTAGTACTTTTGTAGTATTCCCTTTCCCTATATCTTTTCCTGTTCTTTGCCTTTCTCCTTTTTTTTCTTGCCTTCTTGATGGTATGTAAACCTCTGATATTATATGTATTGTGAATTATTTTATGCCTGTTAGTTAATGTGCTGTGCTGTGTTTTTCTTGAAGGAAACTGCTTTTGTGACCAGAGCAACTATTATATGTTTTGGGCCCGATTTGTTTTGTTTGTTTGTTTATTTGTTTTAATAGATACTGTATA